AGGCAGACGGGCTTCACTTGCATTTCGGTTTCTATTCCCACTTGGATCCGTCTTCTTGATCCGACCATCTTTTTCTCCCAATCACCAATTCTCTCGCCCCTCAGGCCCCCCACCCCCCACCCTTTTGGGCACACCCTCCACTCGGTGGGCGGATGGGTGGGCAGATGAGCCCCGGCTGGCGAACTCTGCTGTCGTCTTCGCGCCAAGCCCCACGGCCAGCTTCAGTCGCAGCGCCAGACTCACCATCGGCCCTGACCGTTCGGTGGGTCCTCCTTCTGTCTCGTCTGCCTTTCAATTATGCACACTCAATTGGCCAATTATGCCCATTCAGTCACCTGTCTCCGTCCTACCTGTTCGGCCGGTTGGGTTAATTAAATACATCATCTCGCCTGGGCAGGGGGCGGACTCGGGGTCGGCTGTGCTGGCTCTTGTGGCAAGTCCAGCTGCCCAACGACGTGCGAAAGTGGGACTAACGGACAAACAGACAATTGCACACACACACACACACACACACCCGGTTGCAGGAGAAGCGACGAGCAGGCCTCGAGTCCTGTCATAATAGTCTGCCTCCCGGCTTCAGGCGTCGTGAGACTCGAACACCGGCAGGACTCAGATTGCCGGATGAAGAGACTTTAGGGTAGATCTCGACAGAAGAGGTCACCTTGTTTAGTTTCATTTCCTCGGTTCCAGTGAAAACGAGCTGAACTCTTCCTCGTAAATTCATCGTGGTTTAGCTTTATTTTCGCAAATTGGTCGTGTTGTCAGGGCAACCTAGATTAACGCATTTTGTCTGAACTCCTCTTCCTTGGTAGTCATGCTAACTTCCAGCGTCAGAGCGTCGACTTGGTACAATCGGCATCGCCTATTTAAGATTATTCGATTTTGATAGTGTGCAGCACTCTTTTTCATATATTGCTTCGACTGTATTCACATACACTTTATGTGGTGAGAGAAAGTTTATTATCGTTCTGGTGAACATTCTCTGAGTCTTGCTTTCCTAAAAGGATAAACAGCAGTTTCGACCTCTCTTAGGTCTTATCAACACTCCCAGCGGGACTCGAACTATAATAGAGCAGCGTGTATTCTGGACATAGTAACCATTACACCATATTGCCACGAGTGTCCTTGGGTCACATGGAGGATGTGAATTTCAAAGGAGACCAGATATTTTCCCATATTTCAATGTGTGATGTGTTTGTCGATTAAACACATTTGTATATGCTATAGCAGTCGACTACATTACTTATTTTTCGTTTCGTCATTTCAATTACCTTAAAGAAGTAAAGTGAATACATCCCATATATGTGATCTACTAATAGTCTTTAAAGCTTCGCCAATCTTCGCATCAAACTACGACACATCAACTTTCTCACCAACTTTGTGTCGAACCGTTTCTGTACCCGTTTTAACTTCTGGTTCATTCATCCATTCAATTTCTTCGTATCGCCTCTTGAGTGACTTGAGCTTATTATGGCATATATCCAGGTCTTATAAAGTAATGGCGAATAAGTCTTGTCGGCATCAGTTCCACTGTTACATGTGACGTGTGAGGAAACTGGCTTATCTTGAAAGTCATATTTGTCCTGCAACTCACTGGCCGCCTTAGGGTGGGGTGGTGATGTTCATTAAACCTAAATACCATTGTGTTAATGAACTGGACAGGCCTAAACTCATATTACTTAAGAATATCTATGTCCTAGGTTTGATTGAAAATGATATTGGATTAATAAAGAATACCTTATTAAATGGTGAATACGTAAGGAGATATAGAGGTACATTTTCCCATACGTATCCTTTAATGATAAGATTTATGAAGAGATGCAAGACGTAGCAATTGGATCTTGTTTGGCTCCTATTTTGGTTAATAATTGCATGTCAATAATGGAGGTAAGATTGACTCCAAAAGTGTTAGTTAAATAAATGGATGACTACGTTGCCATATGGCAGCATGGTAGATAATTTCTTGTTCTTAATTAGCCTAAGTGATTACAATGTTAATTTGACGAAGGAAATAGAGAAATAAAAATATTTAACCTTTTTTAGATGTTTTAGTGAAGTTGAACTGGGATGTATATTAGAAGCCAACTCATGCTGGCTTTATCTTTAATTTCTACTCGAACCATAATTATATAAAAAGAGTTGACGTCTTAAAATATATGAGTATCCGAAGCATACGACTAGCTGATAGAGACCATTGTGATAATG